CAGCAAGCATTTCAACTCCAGTGGACGCTAGCACTCCAAAGCTAAACTGCACACAAAACAATGAATAGAGAATAGTTTATGGTCAAACAGAAACTTTAGAGGCCTTTATTCAACCGAAAATACTATGGAAAGACAGACCGGATTAAAAAAACCTACGGACACAATGCAACTCTTGAAATCTCAATAGATCTCATGCATGATAGCTACGGGATAAGATGAGTCTAGTGTATGGGGGCTAAACAATCTGCGTAGCTATCCAGCCTGTTCACTGATTGGTTTTTGGCTGATAAGTCCGGCTGGTGCTGGTTTATTGTGAGAGAAAAATACTATTAGCTGCCTGATAAGCCCTGGCTGAAACCAACAAGCGAACACATGATGTTCAAATTGACAGGAGCAGCATTTGGCCCTAAAGTTTTTTGCATCATGCCACAAATAAACGACCAGCTGATCCTTGAGTTGCTTCTCAGGCTGCAATGCATCATGTGCAAGGTGATAAGATGAGTCTACTGTATGAGGGTTTGAGAGGTAAAGCAAAAGCAGTAGCAAGTCTTCTACATTATTGGCTAAGCAACAAAGATTTCAGAAGATGTTCGGTATTGTTTGAAAATTGGAAAAGTCTACTTAACCCTCCCACCTTTCATACATGGTCTACTTTACCCCCCAACTATGAAACTGTCTGTTTTACCCCCTAAACTTTCCAAAACCGTATACTTTACCCCTCGGGCGGGTTTTGACAGCGGTTGCTACAGTAACAGTGGGTTTGCGATCCGTGTGTTCTTTTTTATTTTCGGTGGTTTGAGTACCGGTGGTTTGAGTTTTCTTTTTTTTATTTATTTTCGGTGAATTTTTGAAAAATCATAGGAAATCATAGAAAAATCATAAAATAAAAAATCTAATTTTATTGGACTCCACGTGAGTAGATCTACACAGTGAATATATAATACGGTATGCTTTAGTATAATTTTTTTTTTAGCTTTAGATTAATTGGAAAATCTAATTTTTTCTGTAATTAATTAGAATTTATCTATAACTAAGTTATACATAGTCCAATGAGTACGAATTTTTACTATAGTTCAAGCATACAATAATTAGCGTACCATAAAAATTTCACCACAATTGGACCATAGAAGCTGTAGCTATGAATTATTCCAATTAATTACAGACAAAATTAGATTTTCCAATTAATCTAAGGCTACAGTAAAAATTTTGTACTAAATCATACCGTATTATATAGTCACTGTGTAGATCTACTCACGTAGAGTCCAATAAAATTAGATTTTTTATTTTATGATTTTTCTATGATTTTTCAAAAATTCACCAAAAATAAAAAAAAATTCAAACCCACCGGCATTGTAGCAAACCCAACGTACTGTAGCAAACCCGTTGTTACTGTAGCAAACCGCTGTCAAAAAACGCCCGAGGGGTAAAATAGACGGTTTTGAAAAGTTTAGGGGGTAAAACAGACGGTTTCATAGTGAGGGGGGTAAAGTAGACCATGTATGAAAGATGAGGGGTTAAGTAGACTTTTTCCTTTGAGAATTCTTGTCAGGCCAAAATAAAGATATGAAGGTATGCATCAGATATACTACCAGGCCCCTATTGGCTGCTAGCTCAGTTACATTATTTGGTATCCAGAACAACGTTATTTGGCTAAATAGCTAATATCCATTGACTGACAGATGTTTTTTGAATCAGAAAACTTTTTCTATCTATCATGAATAGGTCCCTACTACTTGAGGTAACAAAAATTCAGCCTCTAAGGTATGAAGTTGTATAGCCAAAAAACTCCTCACCAAAGTTGACTTCTCGGGTAGCGTGCCCATACGTTGCTACGGGACAACTAAATCTTTTGTACTAAAAACACATAGATCGCATGATAAGATAACAATACTATTAAATTAAATACCGACGTCAAAGTGACATTTAATTCAAAAAGCAAAGTTTGTGAAATTAGCACAGTCACAGAGAGCGTGACGTCGCAGGCTCACAAACTCTACTGTATAGACTTTTTCGTGATACGACTAAGATAATATTTTATATCGGCAGAAAGAATTCTACGATATCCATTTCTTTCATGCGCCAATAAATCAATGAATAAGTTTCACTGCATCTCCATATAATCATGTACACACAGGTTCGAGTATATATGTAAATAGGTTTGTACCCGTGCGTTGCTACGGGGCAGCTAAACTTTTGTACTAAAAACACACGGATCGCACGATAAGATAATAATACTGTAAAAGTATATGACCGACGTTAAAGTGGCATTTCATCCAAAAAGCTAAGTTGGTGAAATTTACACAGTCACAGAGAGCATGACGTCGTAGGCTCACAAACTCTATTGTGTAGATCTTTTCGTGATACGGCTAAGATCATTTTTTATACTGGCAGGAAGAGATTTCTGATATCCATTTCTTTCGTGCGCCAACAAATTCATGAATAAGTTCCACCACATCTCCATACCATTCTGTACACGGCGTTGGCAAGTGAATGAGCCACAACTTATGTAATTAGTTTTATAATTAGCTCATGTTTAATCTGCCTAATTGATATCTAAAAATTCAATGTGACAGGGACTAAAGTTTAGTCCTGGGATCCAAACACCCCCTAACTCTCGACTCCTGCTGGTTGCTCACTTGCACCACCATATTTATGTGTCTGCAGGTATATACTCTAATGTCAGAACATCTAAGATGGTCTTTAAGATTGCCATTTGTGTATGCTGTAGGATTGGGATGCTTTGCACTGATCTATGAGGGTGTTCATGAGAGTCAAAATTTTTGATGCCATTATGATGTCTAAGCTTACCAATCAGACAGAGACGAACATGATTGTTAAAATATTTTCAACACTGCTTTCATATACTCTCTCTGTCCCAAAATAGAATTCATTCTCGCTTCCCGAGAAGTCAACTTTTTTTTTAACTTCCACCAATTATAATACATGTATTTTTTACATGCATGTGGCCTCAGGAGTCGACTAATTGATTGTTAAATGTTGCACGTATTTTTTACAAACCTAGTCAAAGTTGAGAAAGTTTGACCTGCATACATCACATAACGACTTATATTTTGGGGCAGAGGAAGTATATGCTAATGGGAGTAGTCAACTGAAAGTCGTAATGAACACAACAATACTTTCATATTATATGCTAATTGGAGCACGAAGAAACGCAGGGGAATGGAACTATATACGAATGGTGAGAACATTTGTTTAGGAAATTGTAGAAATTTCACCAGTCTCACCATGCATAACATGCACATCTTTTATTTGGCACCACTGATGTTCTTAAGAAGCAGCCACTTTTTAATTTCAGGTCTGCATGCTGAAAACACTAAAATTAAGTACCAACCTCATTGAGTCGTCTTGCTTGATCTTTGCCAATTGTTTTCTTTCTTGTATGATTATTATTTCCTTCCATGCATGTGGCCTCAGGTGATCGATTTGTTTTCTTCAAAGTAGACGGGGATCGTGGGGATGGCAGTTTCTTTTTCTATAAAGCGGGGTATCGCATGGTCGGAAGGGAGGAGTCTTGCTTGATCTTTGCCAATTGTTCTTTTTCTATGAAGCGGGGTATCGCATGGTCGGAAGGGAGGAGTCTTGCTTGATCTTTGCCAATTGTTTCCTTCCATGCATGATTATTGTTTCTATTTATGTATGTGGCTTCAGGTGATCGATTTATTTCCTTCAAAGTAGGCGGAGATCACAGGGATGACAATTTCTTTTTCTATCGCGCGGGGTATCACATGGCTGGAAGGGAAGAGCGAAAAAAAAGTCGCACCAAAAAATAGTCGCGGCTAAGATAGAAAAAGTAGTAGGGACCTATTCATGATTGATAGAAAAAGTTTTCTGATTGAAAAAACATCCGTCAGTCAATGGATATTAGCTATTTAGCCAAATAATGTTGTTCTGGATACCAAATAATGTAACTGAGCTAGCAGCCAATAGGGGCCTGGTAGTATATCTGATGCATACCTTCATATCTTTATTTTGGCTTGACGAGAATTCTCAAACAATACCAAACATCTTGTGAAATCTTTGTTGCTTAGCCAATAATGTAGAAGACTTGCTACTGCTTTTGCTTTACCTCTGAAACCCCCATACAGTAGACTCATCTTATCACCTTGCACATGATGCATTGCAGCCTGAGAAGCAACTCAAGGATCAGCTGGTCGTTTATTTGTGGCATGATGCAAAAAACTTTAGGGCCAAACGCTGCTCCTGTCAATTTGAACATCATGTGATCTATTGATTGTTTTTTTGTCATGATCAGCCTGTTCGCTTGTTGGTTTCAGCAAGGGCTTATCAGACAGCCAATATTATTTTTCTCTCACAACAAACCAGCACCAACCGGACTTATCAGTCCAGAAATCAACCAGCGAACAGACTGGATAGCTACGCAGATTGTTTAGCCCCCATACAGTAGACTCATCTTATCCCGTAGCTATCATGCATGTGATCTATTGAGATTTCAAGAGTTGCATTGTGTCCGTAGTTTTTTTTAATCCGGTCGGTCTTTCCATAGTATTTTTGGTTGAATAAAGGCCTCTAAAGTTTCTGTTTAACCATAAACTATTCTCTATTCATTGTTTTGTGTGCAGTTTAGCTTTGGAGTGCTAGCGTCCACTGGAGTTGAAATGCTTGCTGCAATTATTGGATATGAACACATGAAATACATGCCTACAAACTTTTCTTTCTTATGAGTTGAAATTGCAACGCTTTGTTTGCTTCAAACAATAATTGCGTGCCGAACAATATACGATGAAAGAAGCATTTAGACATCCATTAATTCAAAATATGCTTTGTTCGGGCAACTCATTAATGAAACCACATCCAATGTCAAATTTGTAACAGAGAAAGTAGATGTCAATATGATTTTATAAAAAAAATGTTCAAATTTTTCTTTATGATACTTTTCCAAGGATGGTATAAACATGTGTATGTAATCCATCCCCAAGGTCCCTGCTACCTCCTCTGCCTCCAGCGGCCCCTACTGCGCCATGGCGCTACAGCTGCAGGCCGCGGCTCCGTGTCCGCCCCTGCCACTCACTGCCTCACGCGGCCGCCTCGCTGCGCCTCAGCCTTCGCCTCCCTTCGTCAGCATAGCTGTCGCTACCTCCTCCAGCCCGGGCTCGTCCGCGCGCCTCTCGTGCCGCGGCCCGGCGCCTCGCTGGCGGCGTGCGAGCATGAGGGCACGCACCGGTGCCGGCGGCGGCGGGCGGAGGGAGTCCCCGTATGAGGTGCTTGGCGTGTCGCCGTCGGTGGCGCCCAACGAGATCAAGCGCGCGTACCGGCGCCTCGCGCTCAAGTACCACCCGGACGTCAACAAGGAGGTGCGTGTGGCAACCGAACCCCTGCTGCATGCTCGCGCTCTTTACCTTCGCATTTCTGTTTGATCTCTACAGGATTTCTTGGGACCTCGCGCTCAAGATGATTTCTTTGTTTAAATACTTATCCTTTGTACAACAGTGATGTTTTTTCTGGATTTTTTTTAAAACAATCTCATTGGTACCACCCGGACGTCAACAAGGAGGTGCGTGTGGCAACCGAACCCCTGCTGCATGCTTGCGCTCTTTACCTTTGCATTTCTGTTTGATCTCTATAGGATTTCTTGGGACCTCGCGCTCAAGATGATTTCTTTGTTTAAATACTTATCCTTTGTATAACAGTGATATTTTTTCTGGATTTTTTTAAAACAATCTCATTGTACTGTTATACTCATGTTTGTTTTCTATCATAAGCACAAATATCAGCAAGCTGGACAATTTTTTTGTTTTCTGAAATTGTCATGGAAGATGCGGATGGTTATCGTCCTTGTTGACATATGAAGTGAATTAGCCATCTTCATCATGTAAACAAGTAATATAAAGGCGGCTTAATGTCGAACACACCTTAGTAGCCCAGTGGTAGATGAGTGTTTGCTTGTACTTTAGTTCCTGGGATCAAATCCTCTGTGGAACATTTTTTTGTCAATAGAATACATTATTCAGAAATGCGTGGAGCATTTTGTCTATTGCAACCATTTTTGTATATTACAACACTTTTAGGCCGTTGCATCAGGGGTAGTCTAATGCGTTGAGCATTTTGTATATTGCAACCAATTTTGTATATTGCAACACTTTTAGGCCGTTGCATCAGCGGTAGCCTATAGCAACACAAAAAACCCGTGGCAACATTAACATGATATTGCGACCATTTAGGATTGTAGTTGCAATAAGTACTTAACAATTGCAACGCCACAAAAATTATTACAACCCCAGAAAACTGTGGCAATAGGAACATGCTATTGCATCCATTCGGAAATCTTGTTGCAATAACCACCCTAGCAATTGCAACACCATGGAACATTATTGCAACCCATAATAACCGTGGCAATAGTTACAAGCAAAAGCAACCAAATCCAATATAGTTGCAATAAAACCAAGTAATTGCAACGAAAACCAATACTATTGCAACTCAAAAATGCCATTGCAATAATGCTAACTAATTGCAACACAATTCTTAAATGGTTTGAGTAGCACAAGCCTGTTGCAATGACAAACCACACATATTGCAACAAATTTAGTCCGTTGCATTATAGGAACATATTGCAACCATTTTTTGAAAAGGTTGCAATACGACCCACCTATGGCAACCAAATTAGTGGTGTTGCAATCATGTGGCGTGGCATTAGAGGTAGAACCTTGTAGTGCCACCAATTTGACCACTTATCGGGCTCACAGCGCGTTAACATATAAGTCATAATCACCGGTAAGATAAAACTAGAATTTCATTACGTTCACACAACGTGAAATAACATGCAAAGTACCAATATTACATGAAAGTTCAACCAAAATCACCAAACTTCAACTACAAGTCCATTACATAAATAGCGAGGATACATCTAGTGTTTTAACTAGTCACTAGGCGAATCTAATCTTCATTATGATCGCTGTCGAGGTCGGAGATAGGATTATCCCCATCCTCTGGCTCCACTTCTTCCTCGTCCCAACCGTCATCTTCCACTACCATATCTGGATCTTCTTCTTCAAGGATTGGGTGTAGTTGGTTGTTCAGATAATGCACCTCATGCTGAAGATCCATCACTACATGCTAGGCTTGTGCAAGCTGCTGGCGCAAGTCCCTCTCAACACGATCCTGCATGGCGCTCACGGCGTAGGTCCTACCTCATTCTGCTTCGGCTGCAGCTGCACGGTTGTTTGCTAGGTTTCGCTGGCGCATAGCTATGAACGCCTCGGCACGAGCGGCCTCCAGCTGCTCCCGTAGTCCTACTAGCATTGCTGGATCATCTGCCCTTGCCTCTTGGGTGGCAACTCTCTGTTGATCAACTTGCTCCATTTGGGTGTGGAGATTCCCCAAAGCTACATAGGCTTGATCAGTTTCCCATCGAGCCTCACTTGCTGCCTTCTTGTGCTTGCGCACACGCTTCTTGAGCTTACGTTGTGCGGCTTCGTCCCTCATGAGCTTATCCATGCAAGTGGTATATGACTCCTGCTAGAAATCCCTGGTATCCTAACGAGTATAGAACATCTTCATCACTGCAAACATGGCACTCATAGCGGGACTAGAACTATCTGCCCGCTCATTCTGATCTCGGATCAATGCATTGCGGTTGCGTTGTGCCCATATTGCTATGGACAGATCCACTCAAGGAAAAACACCAGTGGCACTGCCGGTAAGTTCAGCCCCGTGCTACTGACAGATCTGACTCAGTACCTCGAAGACTACTACTTGGGCAGCCTCCCAAGGAGTTCTTCCTTCAGATTCTACCTTCCATTCCTGCCAGAAGGGTGCTTGTATGCGGGCTGGTATGGTTAGCCGCACTTCATACCATGACTATCCCTCCAGGTATTCTTCATTCTAGTGATAGAGGGGCGGTTCATAATACCCCGCATAGTGTAAGACTCTCCAAAGCAGAGCAGGAGTTCCAAACATCATCAGGAAACTCTCACTTCCAGCCGGTGCTACCATCTATACCAACAACATATGCAATTCTTGTGAGATGAAGTCATAATGGATAAGAATTACATAACCGAGTAAGAAATCTATAAGGGGAGGAACAATGCAAGTATTTGAATAATGATTTATTATGATGCATGCACGTTCCGTACGTCCTTACAAACTTAGGAAAAAATATTTCTAACGACATACATGGTGGCATACATACGCCCTCTCATATATAGCGTAGCTAATCGGGCTACACGTTTCGTTGTTAGTGTACTTGCATAAGAGTTTCATTTAAGTCCAACACACAATTATATATGCAGAATGTAAATCTGGACTCTATGTTGCAACTAAATACTTCCATATATATATACCCATACATATACTCCCATATCAAAGCTACCCAATGACAGTTTATTACCCATGAAAGGATCAAGATGATCAAGAGGGGGGTGAATTGGGCTCATTCTAAAATTCTTTGCAATAATTAAACCCTACACTTAGCCCACTTCACCCCTTGTGCCTATAAAGTGTTTCTAATGTTCTACCGCACAAAAGTTTAGCACCCTAAGTTCCAATCCTACTCTAGCATGGCAATTCTAAGAATGTAAAGACAAGAATTAAATTGCTCAAAAGTAAATGCTCAAAGTAAAGAGAGGAGAAGGAACACGGTGATGTTTTGCCGAGGTATCGGAGAGTCGCCACTCCCCACTAGTCCTCATTGGAGCACCCGCGCAAGGGTGTAGCTCCCCCTTGATCCGTGCAAGGATCAAGTGCTCTCTATGGGTTGATTCTTCGACACTCCGTCGCAGTGAATCACCCACAACCGCTCACAACTTGAGTTGGGTCATCCACAAGCTCCACCAGATGATCACCAAACTCCCAATCACCACCAAGCCGTCTAGGTGATGGCGATCACCATGAGTAACAAGCACGAACTCTCACTTGACCACAACAAGCCTAATGAGAAGGGTGGATGCACACTTGCTACTCTCCTTGCACTAATGAGGCCTTAATCTTGGATTCTCAAATCTCAATCATCTCACTAGGCTCTTGCTCTCCTAAGCACTCTCAAGGGTGTTTCTCAGCTGTTGAAATGGGCAAGAGACCTCCCTTGGATGAATAGAGGAAGTATTTATAACCCCTCATTCAAAATAAACCGTTAGGAGGTTGAAACACCATTCTGTGGGGTGACCAGACGCTCCGGTCATGGTGACCAAACGCTCCGGTCATGGTGACCGGACGCTCCGATCAGTTCTTCCCGTCATAGAGCTGTTAAGTTGTGACCAAACTCTGACCTACGTCTGGTCAGCCCTGACCGGATGCATTCGATCACAAAAACTGCTCTCTAGAACCTTACTGATGTTGACCGGACGTTGGTGCCCAGAGTCCGGTCACTTTGCTGTTCAGTGTCCGGTCAGTAACCGAAACTTGACTAGCGTCCGGTCAGCACTGACCGGACGCGTTCGATCAGGATTCTCCCTCTTTGGAACCTTATTGGAGTTGACCGGACTCTAGCACCTAACATCCGGTCACTTTTCACTCAGCGTTCGGTCGCATCCAGATGACTTCAGCTTGATCAAATGAACTGACTGGACTCTACTGCCATCATCTGGTCACACCAGGACCAGTGTCCCGTCAATATTTGACCCTCCATTCACTTCCAACTCAAAATCATATGTGAATGAAGTTTGCTCTAATTGATCTTAGGGCTACTTTGGAGCTACCTAGTGCTAGATTTGACAAATGTGCACCACACCTAACCCACTAGACTCACCTAGGTCAAGCTACTAGTCCATACCCCCCCTTAATATTATGGCCAAAGGAAAAACAAAGTCCTAAACTACTCTAAGTGTCTCTTCAACATCAAACGACACTTAGAACTAGTTCATCCTTAACCTTGTTGTCCATCCTTTGAAAACTAAAACGATTTCCATCATAGGGGCATGACAACCATGATTGCCCAATCAATTGCCATTACCATGACCTAATTTAATTGCCTCTGCAAAACACATGTTAGTCATAGTAATCTCGTATTGTCATTAATCAACGAAACCCAACTAGGGGCCTAGATGCTTTCAACCCACAATTAAATACGCACCATATACACATGCAAGCATGCATACATAGTCGTACCAAAGCTAGCTCTCCCCGACCGCACGCTCACATCTTGCGGCCATGACACTCATCAACTTACCTTCTTACCTTGGTGTAGAGGCATTTGATCCATACTTACCACTTAAGTGAATGGCATCCATACAATAGCATGTCGTATGGATGATGAAAGTAAAAACCCCTAAGTTAGTACTTAAATAGCCACCTAAGAGTCCTTAACTGGGCATAAGAAAGTGATCACCGGCACACTTTAGATTTCAACTCTAGGTTTCAAATACCTATTTATATAGCTATTAGTTGCTAGAAATTGGTTTTGAAAACAAAAACCTTTGTTTTAAATACACATATGACAATTAATGTTGAATCTTGCTCTGATGCCAGCTGTCGTAGAACCGACCAATTTATAAGAGCACAAGTACAATGGCAGCCCGCAAGCGGTCGCACTGTCATACTTGAGCCTATATAAACCCGGTAGTTTATCGAGTACCACGACGGGTCTCAATAAACGATCCACACACAACCAAGATCGTACATGATTCAACATACATGTCACATATTACATAAAGTTCATAGATACAGTTCCTTCAT